TGTTTGCCCTTGTAAACACCGAAATGAGACACTGCACACTCACCCCATTCAGTTGACAGTTTCAGTCCTTGTCCAGTGTGTATTCCCAAAGATTTGACATCTCTGCATATCCGACATCCTAGCTTCTTATCTTTAAGAAGGAGCCATGCATTGGTCTTGCAAAAATATTGCACCTGGTCCGTTGTCCAGCAGTCAGGTGCATCGCTTTGCCCGGTGTTGGTGGTGGCAGTTGCGCCAGCAGCAGCTAACGTTAGAGGCTCTGGAGGAGGCGGCGGAGCTAGTGCTAATGCTAATGCACTAGAACTTGGAGCAGGAGGATCAACCAAAGAAAGCTCCCCATCAGACACAATTTCCAACACAGGCACAGTGTATTTGAAGTTTCTTCCGGCGACAACCGCTGTCTTTTTGCACTTTTATTAATCCACGCTAACATTTTAGAAATGCTAATTTGTGACGTGACTTGCTTTCCTTCTCTCGGGGGCGTGCCTGCTCTGTTCTATCACTCTACATAGCCACCCACTGGGTGGGAGTTGCACTGCATAAACACAACACACGTGCATCTAGGTATGTAAATTGTAAAGCATTAAAACATGGTTTTACTAACAGTTTTCAGTATGTTGTTACTTCGGCATTATTATTATTATTATTATTATTATTTTGAAACGTGTATTACTATTAAATCACGGTCAAATAGGTTAATTTTGACATAGTCGTTTCCACCACAGTATTTACATGGAGAAGATAAGCCCCGCCCCCTCTCCAGCACGTTCTGTTTGAATGACAGGAGTAAACAGCTGACAGCCACTGTGAAACTCCAGCGGTTAGAGCGATGAGAATGTCCGTTCGGCACCTCATGACGCATCTACTGAGTACCGGGCGGCTGTATATATATATATATATATATGGATGTATAATAAGAACGGCGGGAGAGTGTTGAGTACTGGCACGGTGCATGAGTACCGGAGTACCGCCAGCATGCCGGTACTGAGCAAGAAGTGCCGGTACTCCATGGGTCAGAACCAGAAGTGCCGGTACTGCGTACCGGTGAGTACCGGCCCAATTCCAGCACTGGTATCGGCGATACTGTCCCTGAAATACTTGGTATCGGATCGAATCCAGATTTTGTGGTATCGCCCACCCCTATTGAGAAGGAGGGGCGTTGAGGCTCCGCCCATGTTGAGCTCCCGCCCATCTTGAGGTACTGCGCACTGCAGTGAGGGGTACTACCCATAGATATAGATAATGGTATATAAAAAATAGAAAATGAAAAATAGTAGAAATAGTATAGTAATAGTAGAAAAATTGTATATATATCTATGGTACTACCCAGTAACTGGCTGGAGCGCGGGCACTTATTTTGTGAGCACGCTCAAGCCAGTTACTGTGTGGTGAGGTGAGGCACAGATGAGCTCTGCCTCACCTCAGAATGCGTCACCTCACAGAAACTGTCTGGAAAGCGGGGCCTAAGCGCATGCCTGCACCATCTCACTGTATGTCACCAATGTAATGTTTGTAGATCCCTTTATTACATTTATCCTCGCCATCCATAGTCTCTAAATAACTTATTTCACGTATATATGATATTTAGGCCCGCTGGTCTCATCATACAACGGCAATGAAAAAAGCACCAGGAGAGGCAGCCATAACCTCTGCCGCACTGAAGGGGGCGCAAGTGAGCCCACAGGTTCTTGTTGCTACTGTTATTCTACACAGACACAAACAACAAGCTAGACTTTTGAAACTAGAGGAAGATAAGGAGGACTTTTACCAAAATGTAATGGAGATTGTTGGCCAGAAGGAGAGCATGGACTTCATCTTCAAGTCAAGGTAAGACCACAATTGTAATGAACATGGGATCTTACTAAGAAAGAACAATACAATATTTAGATTTTGGGTATCCTTTTGTTGAACAGTCTGTTTAAAATGAATCGAAGCATCAGACTAAAAAAGCTTTTGAAAATAACCGAACATTTCGATTAAGGTCAAAATATAATATTTGTAAATCTGACTGAAAGAGTCAGTGCCTCACCAGCCATGAACCTCACCGCACGTCACTGGCGTCTATTATCAACGCTATGGGAGGTCTATGAAGGTCTATGGGACGCCCTGCCCGTTGAAAACTGACTTCCAAGGGGTACCCTGTACGTAATAGAGTTACGGGGAGGGGCCCTGACCGTCCGTCAATATGTGACGGGTTGGGAGTGAGAATGTGTTGCTTTGAAGGGAATGTGATCCCATTTATGTTTCCTTAGTAACATAATCTTACCTTTCGTTGGTCCTGTTTTGTCTGTATCAAAAAGGTTAAAGAAATATATTGAAAAGTAGCTGGTTACTTCTTCTTATAGTTCTTTTAGTAGTGTTGGTTTATTGTTTGAGGGTTTTAAAGTCATATTTTGGCAATATCTTACACTAAATTCTAGTGCCCGAGTAATCCATGTAGTCAGAATGGACCATAACAGTTCAATAATGCCAACTTATTCACCTTATATTTAACACCTGTGCTTTTTTGACTATGCAGCGTGCGTCAAGTTTTCAAAGAACATTGCAAAGAGCATGCCTGGCATTGTCAGGAAAAATACAGGGGTCTAGACACAATATCACTTGCTCCTATACCTTATAGGCCTACGCCTTGAATATTTATCCAGTCCATATCCAGAAACCAACAAGTGTTCACAAACTATTCAAACGGCATGACACAGTCTTATATGATCCAAATTTACAGGAAAGGTCCTGCAGATGTATACTGTAATTTAGCTAGCGCGGCTAACACTAGCCGACAAGTAGCTGCACTCACAATCTCTTTACGTTGCTTAAAACAAACAAAACATCGACAATATTCGACTTCTAAAAGAAAATGTAACATTACCTGTTAGCTGTTGTGTCGTTTTTTCCATGCTGTCATATCGATAGCGTTCCCATGATGTGGAGCACACCTGGTGCCCTGCAGACATTACACGAGTTGTTTGAGTCAGGCCAACAGGTCAGAGGTTAACTTCCCTAAATGATCACTTTACATATTTTCTTTTGAGCACGTTATGGTTGAGGTTGACCAGTAGTTTCCTTTGGCTACTTACCTACAAATAATTTCTTCAGGAATATAGGAACTTGTTAGCTACAGAGTATTATATTTCCCCTTTTGTAGTTGGAGACCCTTCACCTGTTTTCCTGTTCTTCCTTACAAGCTGCACTCCTGACATTCAGAGAGCTAACAACATTATGACAGAATGGCATTTTCTGTGTACAGGGCTGGCAACAGGGTCCATTCATTGTCTTACGAACAATGAATTAGCTTTTAGGCAGACATAATCATTAGCTTGATCAACCCTAAAAAAAAGTATGCTTAAAAAATGTAAAAGCTTCACATGAGCCACTCCAAATGTCTCATAGTGAAAATAGCATCAGGTACGAAATCTACTGCAATTTGTATTGAATTAATTAAAGGGTTAAAGTACAAAGCACAGACACTTTAAAGCACCAGCAGCAATCTATGCATGTCATAAATTACTCCTTTTGACTGGGAAATTAGTCAAAACCATACAGTCTATGGTTAGAAAGCTGCAGTTCAAGCCAAAACAATTTGAGCCAAAGTGACACAAAATTGACGGGAATTGAATACCCAGTCATGTACCATAACACAACTTAAGATCACCCTGAAAGTGTATGCCATTCATATTAACAAATGTGTGAAACAACTATACCTATCAATTATTCACTCCAACTGGTAGAGTTTGTGTTACAGAACGCCACAATACATCATAACCATAGAATGCAGTTAAAGACTCTTGTGGAAACAAGACTACCCCAGGTTTCCTGGCCTTGTTTTCTGTGGTTCTTATTTTATTATCTTGTTCCACTGAACTGGGCAATTTAGCCTATTATTATAATATCAAGTGTCAGTGCAGCCCTATAATGCTGCCATTCAAACAATTCATCCAGTTTATTTTAACATTTAAGCATAGAGTGATGCTTATTTGACATCACATGTTGCCAAGAAGTGTAATTTACTGATCAGAAAGTTAAAATATATTTGACAATTATTTTAGGTATAAAACACTGGATATGTTGGCTGCAACATGCTGCCTAAAATAACTGTTGTAAAAGGCTTCAAGACAATTTCAGAAAAGTACATAGCAGGCCAATTTGGTAGTTTATTAGTCATTTGGCTCCCTTATGGTGTCACTTTCTGTAAAAGCCACAGACACTATGGAGGCTGGTCCACAGCTGTGCCACTCCATGAATATATGCATGTTTTAACAGTCAGGACAAGAGCTATAGCAGTGCTGAGGATTGGGCAGAGCGTATACCTGGAGATCCTGCAGGAATAGGAAACTGGTGATACATTAATTGTATTACCAGCCATCAGAGACTAAAGCAATTTATTGTATTTGAATCTACAACTTGGCTTCTGTGACTTTTGTGAATAAGCTATTTCCACATGCACCGATAGTAGCAAAGAAAAACTAAAGGTTATTGAACTCTCAAGAGAACTTACAAGAGGAAGAAGTCTTTTTATACATCTGGTTTGTAAATTATCATAACAGAAACGTGTACACCTTAAATGCCATAAATGTGGCCTAACATTTAATCAAAACAGCTGTTATAAGTAACACTAGTAATGACATTTAAGAGACGTGTTTAAGTCACAAGCCATATCATTTTGAGATATGTATCTTATTTTTTATTAAACTATACTCTGGTTCAAAAGAAACAGTTTGAGGTGTATTTGTTGATCTCTAGCTCCCTCTGGAGGGTTAAAGGTGCACATACGCCAGATATTCCTCCAGATGGCATTCACATAGTTTACTGCAGCATCATGTGAATTCCATTCATACCAAAGACACATTTTGGCCATATATTGGATGCCTTGTTCAACACGTTGTAAACAAGACTACTTAAGGATGGTTGGATATTACAGTAGTTTGTTTAAGGTCATTTTAGTTAGCATGCACAGACAAGTGAATAAATCATCAACTGGAGACAAACAAAAGACAAATCAGAGCCAAATTAGCGTCTTTATTTTACAAACGCATTATTCTATTGACATTTTTTATATAATAAAAAAGCAATTTACAAGCTTAAGAACCAAAACAATGCAGCACAGAATGATTATGAGTAAAATATATAATTTGAATAAATATATTTTATTTCATGCTATAAAATAAAATGCATAAATGGCAATAGATACATCAGCTCTAGCTAGCTTTATTTACTTCATAGTTGTACAAAACAGTAGAATTCTGAGGTTCACAGTTGGGTTGTGAGGTTGTGTGTAGAGTGGACAAAACAGGAGTTAGGGCATGTCTGTAATAATGCTTCGGTACGTGGTCTCCAGCGGAAAATAATGATGGGCTCGTTGAGGCAGAATGTTTGGGAACCACTGACTGAGGACTTGTATCCCCACCTGAAGAGAAGTGCACAATTCTACTATGGACACACATATGTCCAATGAGACCACTTTTAACATGATATACCCTGAGTTCTAAGTTCTTTTTTGCCTTGTCTCCTAATACATATGAGCCAGAGACATTGCATCGTAGAGTTTAGGGAGTTGTAAAGGGAGAAGGAACAATAGATTGACTTGAAATCTTCCCCCTTGTCCTAAACAACCACAGCTACAGTGTCAGACCCGAGGAGCTGAAGGAGACCCCTGAACCTCACCATGATGACAGACAGCCCCCTCCCAAACAGTGGCTTTACAGCCCAAAATCCCTTTCATTATTTGCCACAGCTGGAGGTGCAACTCTAAACAGTGCCACTAGTTTGATAGCCATGCACTTGTTTCTTGTGTTGCAGGTCACCGTCTACCACTGGCTTTTGATGAGCATTCATAACACCAGCCAGCAACGTCGCTTTTTCATTTAAATATATTTTTTCTGAAGAGGAAAGTCAACCCGTCCAACGTTTCAGAAAATATATATATTAAAAAAGATCAATCAATATCAAATCGCCCTGGTCTTACTTCAATTCACTAAGCCTCCTGACATTCATTCTGTTTGATATACGACAGGTCAATATTTCAATAGGCTTGATGATCCCAATACACCGCTTTTAAAAAGGTTATTGCTTTTTCTTATGATACACAGCGGACAGAAACTGACAGAAAAGCTATGGAAGACTTTTTTTTTCTAAGCCTGTATCAGTGTTTGTAAACTACCTGAAGTGAGTTTATTATAAAAAGAATAGGACGAGCTGCAATTTCAAAAAGTAGTCTGACAGCCTTCCCTGTAAACACTTCCTTTTGATTACTTGTGGCCCATAATGCATCTCCTGCTCCTCTCCGAGGTGTGGAGTTGATTTGAGTGGATGTCAAGTTCAGTTGGTTTTGTAAGTGTGTATCACATTTAGTAACTAGTTCATGAAAAAGCAATACAACTATTTCCCCTCCATTCACCTATGATGATTATATGGACTCGTTTTAAAAAAAAAAAAAAAAAGAGGAAAGGATCCGACTCGTCTAAAGCACCATTTAAGAGGGAAATGGTCCTTAGCAAAGTGATTGAGAGCATTATAGCTCATCCCTTAAGAGAAAATACAGAAATAAACTAGACTTCCCAGATGGAATTGGTATCAACTATAACAAAAAAAAAACTGTAAGTGCACAATTGATGACACAAATACATGTAAAAACAATTATCCATTGGCAATTTCATACAATTTTGTGGTTGCGCAATGTGCAATTCAGCTACAGTATATAAGAGAAAGCTTCTTTTTGTTCTCCTCCACTGCTAAATACCCAAGCAGCTGTTCCCTTGCCAGATGCTCCGCGTGAACAGAGAGGAAGTAGACGTGTGTGTGTGTCATGCATCTCCTTCCTTCATTGAAATGCCAAAATACAGTACATTGTTAAGATTGTCCAGAGTGGTCAGAGAGGAAGGATACGGTGAGGTCTCTGAACACTGGGAAGTGGCTTGCAGGGAACAACACTGCTTCTTTTGATTGTAATTCATTGCTACAAAAGAAGATTAACCATCAAATCAGTTGTCCAAAAACTATAATATAAAGAGCCAGATCAGGGCACAGGACTTGAGCTGGAAAACAACTGGACAAAAGTGAAATTAATTCATTTGTATTCATTCTTGGTACCACTATAGATTAATGCTGAGGCCATATCCTATCATTGCTCTATTCAATCCATTAGAAAAGGAAAGAGGCACAGGAATCTAAGTGCCAGCATCCTCAAAGTAAAGCTTGTGGCAAGGCACTAAGTTAAAGATGCCACTTTGTGTTTTGTTTACATTGGCTTTAAACAATTACAATACCTATTGCACAACTGTTATATTGTCAGCTTTTGTATGGCTTAATATATTGTGTTATTTATGACTTTGCTGCTTAATGTCTTCTTAGCAAGTTGTTCAAATTGTACACAAGTGATTGTTATAAGCTGGGAAACGTGCATTCCTTGCAAATCACAAAGGACTAGTCCTACATTAAATTAAGAACTTCTTAATATGAGCATTCAAAAGTTACAAATCACCCATTAGTCTTTGGTGTGAACTCTTGGCACACAATTATTTTAACATTTTGTACCTTTTACTCACAAAGCATTACTGACAAGGAGGTTTGAACATTTCCAACTCTTTCCTTCCTAGGTGAGGTGTATTCGTCGTAGGCAGATTCAAACAGGTCACTGAATGATCTTTAGTGAGGTCAGATCAGCTGTTCAACCTGCACGTCAGCGGCCGACAGATAAACACTCCACTCAGTAAACATTCGTCTAAAAGGACTGTACAGGTGGACAGACTGTGGGTGTGATGAACTAAAGTGTTTGTGACGATGCCTGGCAACGAAAAGCTAGCTATACCGACTTTTGCCAAATTCCCTACTTTTTGGTTCGCTATCTCGACTGTCAACGAGAAGACGCACACTCACCGGAATAATAATAAAAAAGACTGCACGCTTGACGTCAGACATGAGAAACATAGCCCAATATTCTCCCACCAACCGAACATAGAACATTATATGTAAACTGTGAGAAAAAAAACCCCAAACCCAATTCATTGACACAAATTTAGCATGGACTAGATTGGACAAAATAAAAACAAATAGCAGGTGCTCTTCAATACATGTATTTTAACAGCTGGATGGATAAAAAGGAAAAGCATGATAGCACAAAAGTGACCACCCAGCTGAGCTTTAAATGTCCTAAATATAACAGGATAATCAATCAGGCCTTCTAAGTGCCTTTTTGATGTATTAACTGTAAAATACAGATGACTTAAATCAGAATGGAAATAAAACCCAAGTCCCGATCCCCATGGCTCAAATTGTATATAATATGTAGCCATATGCATGACTTGTAGACGTTAGTATTCATGTGATTGCAGAGTCTCATTAAAGATCACAATAGATGTACGTATAGGCAGAAGCACTGCTGTCAATCTAGTCCTACCCTGCCGCATCAGAATGAAGACAGAAGCTAGCGCGTTTTCTCAATGGCACAACCCCCGCCGCTCCCCCATCTCTGCAAAGTGCATCATACTTTGGATCACCAGCTACTTCTAAATACATTAACTCTTAGCCTTAATCTAGCTGTGCCACATCGATGTCAACACCATAAAGTAGGGTAGACAAATGAGGAAAACTTGTTGCAGTTCCACATCTGACCCCGATCAATGCGGAGAAAAAAATATCACAGATCAATCGTCCCATCGTAGAAAGGTGGGACAGAAGCAAACATAAGAAAGGAAGCAAAGCAAGAGCTCTTTGAAATAATGGAAGAATAAACCATGTCAAAATGGCTGAGAATCCTTTGTTCTTTCTGTTTGCATATCATTCAGAATAGTATACTATGTTGATGTATGTGAACAGTCCAGAGCTGTTCCTACTGCGCTGAGTTGACAATGAGAACTCTGAGTATTAACCTAGAAGCCTACCTCAGGATAAAACAATTTACACATACAATAATTCAGTAAAAGTCTGCCATCAGAGTATAGAGAAATATAAATGACTTCACTGTGTGGACGTATTCCACCCATTTCATGGATGACAGCATCTGAAAGCACGAACGGGTGAGATCTGCAGTAGTGATGAGAGATACAATTCTTAAGTGTTTTGAAGAACAAACGTTACAAGACAGCAAACTCATGTTGAAAATATGCAGGGCCATTTTCTTACTCTATTGTCTGCAGAAACAAACAAGAAAGCTAGCAAATATACTGCTAACATAGCACCTTCTTAAACATCATTTCAACCTGGCTGACCATGAAACAAGGACTTTGTCCCGTATCCATACAATCAGCAAGGAATATTTCACATAAGTATCAAGGCTTTGTGTCGAGAGAATATTCTGTACAGGGTTTGGCAATAAAGATACTGTACATACAACCTAAAAACGGATTTCAAACGGTGAACACGTCTGTGCCTGGTAGGTTCTTGGCTATGAGGTAGAACCTGGTGAGTTCATTGAGTTAAAATACTGTCTGTTATGAGTATGTAGTTGTATCATGAGGTATTGAACGGATATGTCACACGAAGCTTTGCACTGGCAGAAAAATCATTCCTTGTGAGTAAGTGACCTCCTGTGGCCACATGTGCAAAAACAGGTCAGGTAAAAAGGTGATATGACAAGCATCTTACCAGAGCTTTCACATTATCAATTATTGCAACATGCCTATATAACTCTGTAAATATGTTTTAAAAAAACATGGAAAGATAAAAAGATAAATCAATTAAGGGGTCTTGATTATTGGGACCTCCTCAAAAAAAGTAAGTTGTCACTCCCTTTGCTTGAAAGAATCGGATTTCTATAAAGCACGCATTTGCTCTCTGCATTCAACATCGTACTTTCACAAATTGACAGAAACCCCTTGACGCAAGAAATGTCTATAGTAGAGGGAGCTGATTCAAAAAGAAAAAAAGTCCTTTAAGTTGAGTTAAGATAAACATTTCTTAAAGCTTCCTTAACCTAAAGCAGGACCTAAAAATCACATCTTGAGGCTTGAGCTTCCTCTGGACTGCATTTTGAACTCTCCTCCTCATTGGCCGGTGCCTCCTCTGCATATTGTGCCTCAAAGGCCATCCCCTCAGACGTTTCCTCCTGGTCCTTCTGACCTGAGCTTCCCTCGGTGGTCTCTGGAGAGTCTATATGGTTAGTCACCTCTGATGCTCCCATGTGCTTCTTCCTCAGGTGCTGGTTAAGGGTGCCCTGAAACGGGAAGCACTTGCCACAGATCTGACAGTGGAAGGGCTTGTTGTCTGTGTGGCCACGGATGTGGTACTCCAGCTGGTCTTTCCTTGTATACTTCTTGCCGCAGAATTTACAAACGAAGGGGGTGATTCCCATGTGCAGGCGCATGTGGCGATCCAGGCTCCCTTTCTGGTTGAAGGTCTTACCACAGTAGATGCAAATAAGTCTCTCGTTGTAGGGGTACCACTGGCTCCGCAGGCTGCGCTCTCGCACATCATTCTCCAATCCCGTGGGTCCCACGACTGATTCGCTGTCTTCTGAGCCTGGTTTGCTACGACTCAGCACTCCTGCCGGGATGCCCAGGGGCCGCTTCACTCTGGCTCGCGCACCTCTGTAGCCACTGAGCAAGGAGCGGGAGGGACTGGAGCTGCTGAGGTTGACGAAGCACGGGGTGGACTGCCCTGAGTAAGAATAGGCAGCCGACTGGATGACTGGACCATAAGATCCCACACTAACAGCCAGTACCTGCTCTCCGTCTACCAGCTCTGTGTGGTAGCCATCATCACCGGCTGAGGAACTATCTGAGTAAGTGGGCCTGTCGGTCTTCTCAATCTTCACGTGCACGTCGGTCACCTGCCCATCTTTGCCGATCAGTTCCACCTGCTCCATTTCTCCTTCCATGGGAGCATCGTGCTCTGACACACTATCACTGCTGCCTCGGTCCGACTGGCCTTCCTCCGGTTGCTGTCGGCCGCGTCTGTGGGTTTTTCCTGGCAGCTCAAAGCGCACTTCATGTCCTGCCTGACTCTGCCGGGAGTAGTAAGGGGGGGAGATCTGGGTAGGGTTTACAAAGAGGTTGCTGTCGTTGACCCCATTGCCGCTGGTCTGCGAGTCGCCCTTCCCTGGGCTGCAGACACTAACTGGGATGCTGATCTTGGAGTGGATGCTCTCCAGAATTTGGGTACACTTGTCAATGATGGCTTGCATCTGCAAAAAGCTGGCCGCAGTGAGGAAACTGATAATGTCCTTGAGCTGTAAGGACATGTGACCCGTGTAGCAGAATGCAAGAAGCTGCTCAAACACCTCAGGGCTTTTGATGACCGAGATGGAAAGGCCACTCATGGTGCTGAGAGCCGAGTGGTCACGGAAATAGGGTGAGCTCGCAGCCAGCACAGCCTTATGGGCTCGAAACGGCTGGCCCTGAATGTGGACGATGATGTCACACAGCTTCCCCTGCAGCCGCAGCTGATTGAGCTGGTCCAGAACAGTGTTACTGAACTCCGGCACATCGAACTCGATGTAACTGCCGTCGTCCATTTCTTGGATATGTTTCTCCAGTTTGTCGGCTGCCTGATGGGAAAAGGAGAAAAAGAAAAGACAGAAAATTATTAGTTTTTTTTAAAATTGCATTTCCAATACACAGCAGAATTGTATACTTTTTTTTCAACAACTTATTTAAGATGACAGTCTTATTTTATACATCAATGTATGAAACATGCTATGCCATAAGAAACAACACTGAATGAATTGCAGCGAACATTGACTGCTGTATCATATCTTCCTGTTGACACAGCGTCAGCCTCAATGATCCTGTAGTGGGCAGTCTCTATCGGTCAGGAGGCCCGGGGAACACAACAGACATCTTTAAAGACATCCACAGGCACCATTATAAATGTACTATACAGGAGGACTGCAACATGTGTTGTTAAATATTGAGATCTTGATTCAGGCAACTACGAATTATTATATCAGAAGGACAAAGATTGCGCCATATTTGCGAAAATCATTTACTGGAATTACTCGTTACTCTGCTGCAACAGAGGGGACTGGAATCACCAGCAATACAGCGCCAGTAAACCCAACGTGTTGAGGTCAGGGAACATTTCTCTCAGGGAGGTGATCAGAAGTTAGCAAAACTCTGATTCCTGGTTTTCCATCATGAAGATGAAGAGTACATGTTGCAGGCAAGTACTTGCTTTACCTGTTAGTAAAGCAAGTACTTGCCTGCAACATGCGCACTTTGAGCATGCACGAGAGAATGATTAGAGAACATGCACTCCACTTTGTAGTTCTAAAACGGCCTGTGAATCACTTAAAGTTACGACGGTAGATCACTCCTAACATGTCATGATGACAGCATTCTTTGTTACTGTCTCTCATCAGAACCTTAACTATTTAAAGTCAATGCCAGTGTTTCCCACACATAGATTTACTTTGGCAGGCCGCCCAGGTATATTAACGGTCACTCAAGTATACTTGGATACACATTTCAGCATTTTTTTCATGCATCTAAGAAAACAACAGCATCAGAGATTGATGAACTGGTGACACAGGAGGCTGTCTGGGAGCTGGGAGATCCGCGCTCAAAGGCTCTCACTTTTGTTTTACGCTGTTATTTTGTATATATTGATTGCTGTGTTTTTTTTATCTTAATGTGTGCATATGTGTGAATGTGTCTGTCGATTGTGTATATAGGATATACATATTTTGATACATATCTGTATATTGTATAATTGTATTCGGGATTGTTGGAAACGTCATTTCGATCTCTCCGTCTGTACACACAAACTGAAAGATTGACATTAAAGTCACGCCAGCCGACTACTACCCTAACGGACACTGTTTCTCCTCCACTCTGTTGAGCTCGGTGAGATTAAGAGCAGGGGCCGAGGCCTGCACCGCCAAGTACCACTCACCATAAACAACAGCAGAGAGCAGTATGAGACTGGTTATTGATGTTATTTACCTCATTTATGTGGACTCGTTTCATTTCAGCTCAGTGTGAGGTCTGCTGTCATGTATGGTGCTTCACAGCGGGCAGAGCCCAGCCCCCGCCCAGAGGAGACGGACAGCTCACACTCACAAACGCCACGGCAAGTGTAACAAAGGCCCTGCGAGCAAAGAGCCAATATATTTATGTAATCACCAGTAAATATATGTACAGACAAAATATTTCATTCAACAAAATACAGTTGATTCAGGTAACTCATGCATATGCTGCACTAAAGAAACCAACATTGGAAGAAAAAGATTACAGGTGTTTTTTTATGTTATACTTTAATGTTTTTTTTTAATAAAAGATTAAAAAAAACATGAAATAACCCTATCCATGCAGATATGTTTTCCCGATGCAGTTATTTAATTGTGAAGCATAAACATTTCATTGATTTTAATAACTTTGAATGACCTCTGAGGTGTGCATTGTGCAGCTGGAAAAATCTGATTTGGGCCTCAGTATCGTCAGAATGACTAAACGGTGGCATAACAACTTGATATGAAGATCCACAACTGAAACCAGTTGTCACTCTATAGGTTCATTTAATAAACACAAGACTGAAAGCACTCACCAGCTTTGACCAGCTACCAATGCAACAAGGTCTATTTTCTTTTTTAAATAAAAATAATATTTAAGGTGTTTTCTTTAGAGCAACATATAGAAAGTGCAATAGAATGGCTGTTAATACTGGTTGTTTTGTGTTAGTGGAACCACATTTCCATAATGCATTGCAAGTATATGAGGGAGTGTCACAACAAAGGAGGCAAAGTCATCCAAAGACACAATCAGAAAGGAGATCAAACGATTGCGACTGGTTGAACACAATATGCAGATTAGTCATACGAGGGTAGAGATAAGAGGAAAAGTTGGTTTGCCTGCTGCTGCTATCCTACGAAGAAGAACATTCTTGAAGGCTTCTGCCAATCTGTGGTTAGCTTGCTCCTATTATTCTACCTAGTGAGCATAACAGCCTCTTAATGCGTTTCATAAGGCCTTACATCAAGCTTAAGCTAAAACATTTTTGACAAAGTCAAACATCAGATCCTCCAGGGAAAAGCGAAAGGCTGCTTCAAAGGGGACACACAGTGCTATCTCTTTTGAGAATAACTCATTAAAAAGTATGTTAATGATGTATCATTACTATTGTGGGATAACTATTCCTTATTTCAATGTCCATTTGAGATGTAAAAAATATTTTAAAATACAATATTTTGGGTACAATTTCCAAAAGTGAAAGAAAGAAACAAAATATTTGATTTACCTCCTTAATCTCTCTGGATTCTCTCCTGTTTGTACTTTCAGATATTTGCTTTTAAGAGTGTCATGTTCACATTCAGCTGCCTATGAAATCCAAGCATTTTCTGACTTTTTTTGTTTTATTATAAACTTTTTTTAAATAACAAAATGCCAAGGCTTAAATGAAATGTGAATTAGCAGGCTTATTTAACAAAGGCTATTCATCAAGTCTATTAGTAACCTACACTATATATATAGACAAAAGTATTGGGACTCTTAAATCATTGAATGCAGGTGTTTAAGGCCCAATCCCAAATCACCCCCTACACCAGGGGTGCCCAACCGGTCGATCGCGGGGAGATTCCCAGTCGATCGCGAGAGGTGTCTAAAAATAGATCAACAATATTCTGTTTTATCGTTAATGTCCTATAACATAATTTTTCTGTGCCAGGATAATGCACTTGAACGCACCAAAGCTTTGTGATTGGCCGGCGTGACCCCATGTGTTGGGGCGTGGCTGGTGGGCAGTGGGCAGTAGTTCGCTGACGTTGTCCGTGTCAACAGGAGTGACGGTCCGCACAAACACAAGACCGCAGAAGCAAAAAAGCCCAAAATATATAATGTTCACTCCGAGTGGGAGGATGATTATTTTTGTATCTATTCCAATTCAAAGTCCATCTGTCTCATCTGCAATGCGAGCGTGGCTTTATCGAAGAAGGGTAATTTAGGAGCGGCATTTCAAAACAGTGCACAAACGCTGCGAGACGGAATTCCCTCCTAATTCTGCCCTACGCTTCCAAAAGGGGAGGGGCCTAAAAGGACAGCTAAATGCACAGCAGTCCATTTTCACCAGGCCCAACAACAAGAGCAAGGCTGCTACCATAGCATCTTATCGTGTCAGTCACGTTCTTGCGAAACACATGAAGTCTTTCAAAGACGGCGAAGTTGTGAAAGAAGCATTCCTGGAGGCTGCTGACGCGCTTTTTGGGGGACAGTAAAAACAACAGTAGCATTTCAACAGGTTTTTGATATAATAAAAACTCAAGTTAGATACCGTTATTAATCAGCTGTAAGTTTTAGTTTGTTTGAACTTATTCATTATAATTATTGCACAAAATGGTATAAGAATGCAAACATTAAGATCTGTTCTGTTTAAATTGATTAGAGTCTATTATTAATTCAGGTTAAGAAACTAGTGTTGCTTGCATCCTATTTTAAAAAAGGCATTTATTTTTATAATCTACTAAAATGCAACAAAAAAAGGGTTTGATTCTATTAATTTAGTCTTTTATTGCACTTTGGCAGCAGATTCCGGTGTAGCTTCAGATCTGAGTTGTCTTATTAGTAAGCCTAATTTATACTTTTGGAGCAACACTATTTTTATATAATGGCAAAGAAAGGGTTCAGAGTATTTTCTTTTTCCCTGTGTCATATGTGGCAGCACTGTTAAATGTTTCTTGAAAACATTACCCACTGTATGTGACGTGTGAATAAACTCCAACTCTGTATCAACAACACTGTTGTGTAACTTCAGTTAAATACTTGTATGTGTAGATTAGAAAGTGGTAAGATAAAGGACCTGCAGTATTTTATGAAGTATTCATCGTACAAAGGTCAGTTTTATACAAGTAGAAGTGTGTATTTACCTGGTAGTAGGCTGTCAGTAATGGCTACGCCTCTCTATTTGGACTGGTAGATCTCGGCACACTGGCAACTTTAAAAGCAGCTCTCGGTTCAAAAAAGGTTGGGCACCCCTGCCCTGCACCTACACTCTCTACACCCTCTACACTCCCCACACTCCCCACACTCCCCACACTCCCCCTCCGTTTGCGCGGAGGGTCCGCCATATTAAGTGCTGTTCCAAACCAACGCGTGTGGAGCGGGAGTGGGCTATCAAGCCCTCAAACAGCGAGTCTGCATCGGTGCTGACTTGAGACCGGTCTCTACCTGACCGGAGTCAACGCTGTGTGTGTCCGTCAGGAAACACGCTGTTTACAAGTAGTTCCAGCAAACATCCACTGATAAACTGCGATCTTAACAACCTCATGATAACCTCATATGTTTTAACTTAGGATCATACCTGTGTTTAGTCTAGAAAACGGTAAATGTGTGCAATAAATACATAAGTACACTGAACAAAAATATAAACGCAACGCTTTTGCTCCCATTTTTCATGAGATGAACTCAAAGATCTAAAACATTTTCTATATACACAAAATAACCATTTCTCTCAAATATTGTTCAAAAATCTGAAAAAATCTGTGATAGTGAGCACTTCTCCTTTGCCGAGATAATCCATCCCACCTCACAGGTGTGGCATATCAAGATGCTGATTAGACAGCATGATTATTGCACAGGTGTGCCTTAGGCTGGCCACAATAAAAGGCCACTCTGAAACGTGCAGTTTTGCTTTGTTGGGGGGGGTCCAAAATCCAGTCAGTATCTGGTGTGAGGGGTAGGATTAGGGTTAGGGGTAGGGTTAGGGTAATGTTGTGAATTGAGTGGCCCATGGTGGTGGTGGGGTTATGGTATGGGCAGGCGTATGTTATGGATGACGAACACAGGCCACTCAATTCACAACATTACCCTAACCCTAATCCTACCCCTCACACCAGATACTGACTGGTTTTTGGACCCCCCCAGACCCCCCAAATAAAGCAAAACTGCACGTTTCAGAGTGGCCTTTTATTGTGGCCAGCCTAAGGCACACCTGTGCAATAATCATGCTGTCTAATCAGCATCTTGATATGCCACACCTGTGAGGTGGGATGGATTATCTCGGCAAAGGAGAAGTGCTCACTATCACAGATTTTTTCAGATTTGTGAACAATATTTGAGAGAAATGGTTATTTTGTGTATATAGAAAATGTTTTAGATCTTTGAGTTCATCTCATGAAAAATGGGAGCAAAAACAAAAGTGTTGCGTTTATATTTTTGTTCAGTGTATCATCAAATAAGTATAGACAAAGTCGAATTTGTCAAATGTATTGAACGGGTGATCACAGTTTGAAAAGTTGACAGCTATAGGCCTACAGCTTTCATGCTTAAAACATAACTTGGTTTTTAAATGAAAGCGGGATCATACACGAACAACATAACGGGTTAGGGTAACGTAACCATATTACAACAGAGATCAACAACCTATAACAGGGCTTATGCACAGAATGCAGCTATTCAATACTCATTCTTCTTTACGAATATGAGCATGTCTACTCAGGGGAGAGGCGGGTGCGGAGGCGATTCACAATCAGGCCAGCTGTAGAGAAGACCCTCTCAGCTGGAATTTGGGCATAAGATGAGGTTTGAGTCTGCGTGATTTGCGTGTAGGGAGGGGCAGCAGCCATATCATTGGCTAGAACTAGCTAGATCTGATGGAATTGGACATAAAAGCGAGTGAAGTATAACCGGACGCGAGAGAGAGAGATCAGCACCTGCAGCTCTGCCTGCTGTGAGGGAGGGTAGCAAAACACACCTTTAGACCTAACACATTTAGCTATGGCACTGTCGTATACATTGAATTTTTCCATTTGATAATATGTAATCAACTTAGGCACCCCTCCCAAAAAAGAAATTACAATAAAAATATTCATATCTCATACTCTCATATTCTAATACCTGAATAATTTTGAATATTCGATTAATCGTTCCCATCCCTAGTTGCAACAAGTCAGTTTGTGAAATGTCTTCTCTCCTAGATATTCCACGATCAATTGTAAGTGGTATTATTGCAAAGTGGAAACGTTTAGGTACCACAGAAAGACCACGTAAAGTTGCAGAGCGGGGTCACCGAGTGCTGAGGCGCATACTGTGTAGAAGTCGCCAAACCTCTGCTGACTCAATAACTGCAGAGTTCCAAACCAGCTCTGGCATTAATATCAG